AAACTTTTAAAAAATAAAAAAATTATTAATAATATTTGTTAAATTTAATATTAAATTATTTTTTTATTAGACCATACAAACTAATAAATTGATTCTCATAACTCGGTCAGGTCAAATTTTGCAAACAAATTTTTGACTATATTTACTATCTGAATGAGTTTTTTTAGAAGTCTATAAAAATTTTTATACCGTATGCTTTTTTATATATAAAATTTTGAAAATAAAATTAAAAGCCGAGTTGCCGGGTCATTTTTCAAATTTTATGTTATGATTAACTTTGTATGGCCTTATATATAATATAATATCTAAAAAATTTAACATCTACGTATTTATAATTATTCTTTCCAATATATATATTAAATAAAACTATTCTTAAATTGTAATATTCAAATATCGCTAAATTGGATAATGCTAAAATTTGAGATCCCGATTTAAAAATATAAAATTCATCTATACACTTTTATTATAAACATTAATCCAACCTAACCTAACCTAACTCTAAAAAAAAGCTAAAAAAACACGCCCAAAAAATTTTAAAGTTTCATATCAAAATAAATTCTTAAAATTTTACCATCATTCAATTTTAGCATCATCCCCGACATTCAAAATAGTTTAGAAATTTCACAATTATTAAATCTATTAATATATAGCATTTTCAAAAATGATTTTTTTTATATTGTAATTTAAACTTAGCAATTGATTAAATTTTTTCTCTTTTAAGTGCAATCACCTTTGATTATATATGATTATTTAAGTACAGAATCTCTTAAAATGCCAAGTATGGTGTACTTTAATAATTTAGATCAATACGTAAAACTGTTAACGTTAATAAGTTTCTAAGTTATTCAAACTTAATTATAAAAATTTTTTTTCAAATATATATATCCGCAATTGTTAAAATAAATACTTTATTTCATAATATTGATTACGATAAAGTTTTTTAGACCTTTAGAATTAGTATTTTTAGATATGAATCATAATATCAAATGAGGATATTCGAATGCCTAATGAAAGCATGATTAACAATATTTTAGACAAAAATACATTACAAGAATCTCTTACACCAAATTAATAGTTATTTCATCACGAAATAGAAATACGTAGAAGCGCAAATAACCGAAATTGCATCATTTATTGATAAAAATGGAGTAACATCTATGAACTTAAAATTAAGTGTATTCATTCATAGAAGCAAAAATAGGATTACAATAGGATTCATTTGATAAGCAAAAAGTACTATTTTAGTTAAAGGAACTAATTGAATCCTATTAATTAAATATATTACTTTCACTTGGAATAAATCCGTTAATGATTTGATACAGTGTAACAAGAACTTTATTCGTTTATGAAAAATTTAATCATGTTATAATTCTAGTTCACTATTTGTCTTTATTTTGATCTTTTATTATCTTTACATGAAAGATAATGATCAATTGTAAAATTGTAATCTTGATTTCACATGAAAAATAAATCAGAAATACAAGTCAGAAACACGTTTGATAAACTTGCGTTAATTGTCATTATCGTTATATTCTGCAAGATTTGCATATGCTAAATATTGCGGGTTGTGTAACGATAAGGCATAATGATTAAGATGACGCCCCGAACCAGCGCATCTAGTACGTCAATTAGTCTTATTAGGACTTTTACTCTTACAGGAAACTTATTATGACCAAATTATACAGTAGTACGTATACGTACGTATTACATATAGCCGAATTTAGTGATTCTCCGTACAGAAAAATCTTTATCAGATCTTTTTTGAAAACTTTCCTGTTACGTTTTTAACCGTGTTTCACAAGTTCAATAGAAACTACATTTCAAGCTATATTTATTGTTACATAATCACTCTTCTACAAGCACGTCATTAGCAATTCTCTTTATAAGCATACTTATATATTTTAAGCAATTATTGTAAAAAAAGTCTCAATGATTCGATGAAGAAATACCTGGGATCTTTACTAAAAAAGATAGTTGCAGCCGAAAAATTTAGAGGGTATCTTTTTTTCGAAGTTAGGGTTAGAATTATTAATAAAAGAGTATATATACAGTCAGATCTCTTTAAGTGCACGCTCGTGGGACTACACTTTAACAACGTGCATTTAGAGAACAATAAGAAAAGGTGCATTTAGAGATTTGAGTTCATTTAGAGAGGGTGTACACTTATAGAGGATACACTTAGAGAGGTCTGACTGTATAAGCGGTTTAGTAAGTTGTACGTAGTCTAATGGAGACCCACTTACCGGTACCGCTATGCAAGATTTTAATATAAATTTATATTTGAAAAAAATTCATAGCAAAATCTTGCATGTTATTAGATTTATTTGTAACTAACGCTAAGGTTTAATATTATAATAGTAATCCCCGTCTTTAAATAAAAGTTTGAATAATAATTTATTTAAATTTTGATATGTACGTGTGATTAAATTGCAGTATTATTAAGTTTCAGTTCTATATAATGAACATATAGTGTTCTCCCAGTTGTACTTGCCGCCATACTCTCAATGTAAGAAAGATTTTTTCTCGGTCTGATGAATGTCATCTATCCCTACGTAATTCTGTAATTGTGTGTTGTATTCCATAAAAAAATTAATAAAAATAGTCGATTCTACAAGAATTGATATTTACCTTATATCGGTGTATATATATTTTTTTATTGCACGGTGCATCCCTGTTATAGTGGTTACAAATATATGTTAAATTAAGATTAGGGTTAGGATTAGGGTTAGTAATTAAAGCAGCTCTATAAGAAAAAAATTTTTTATCAATATTTACGAATCTTGCAATTTTATTGGGGTGCATCCTTATAATGACCTTGACAAAATAGATGCGTAGTACAGTATGGTAGTACAGATTCGGACATATGCGCAAAAATTATCGTTATACCGCTACGAAATATTGATCATACGTGCGTACAGGTAGCATAGACTTACAAAATTCAATATTAATAAGTAAACCTTCTCTAATGTTTTAGGTTAAGGAATTGTTTTTTGTTAGGTTATAGCAAGAATGACTTTGGTTTAAAGAATTTTTTTCTTTAACAAATCGTACTTATTGCAGTCAACCTCCATATATGTACTGCCTCGGGGCTGACCGTAAGCATGCATTTAGAATGTGTGCGCACGTGCATATATAGACTTGCGTCTCCATATCATAATATCTACTTCATTATAACTACAGTATTTTTCAACATTTAATCCTCTATTTACAATCTATATAAAGTGATTCATTATGTAACGAACTCGTCTATGGCGAATTAAATTCCCAGGATAGCAAGTTCATGTAGAGAGGCTGCTATATTGTTGATTTTCTCAAAGTTATTTAACGTTAAGTTAATGCTTCACATTCATATTCAAAAATTCTATAACTTTGAATAATACACCATGATTGAAAATTGAAAATATTTGGTAAAGAATTGAAATAAAGCCATCTTTTTATTATGCCTACCGTTCTTTCTCGATTTAATTGAACGTGACATTCCATGTTAAAGTTAGAATCGATCTCATTTTTCTTATGTAAAGATTAAACATTAGTACGTACTTTCATTTTCAGCTTTCAAATTGATAAAGAAAGTAGATTATAATCCTAGCTATCTGAATGCTCTCATATATTTTATATACTAAATCGGGTTCGAATGTGGTACAAATGTAAATTAACTTGTTTTGACATTATGAATGATATTTATTGTAATAAAAAAAGAATAAAAAAAGAATATATTTCACCGGATTCAAAAGATTTTGTTCCTGTATAAATGTAAATATTGTAAACTTCCTTGTGAGTCAATAAATTGTCGGGCATATATAGGACAAATGCATGTGGGCTAATTCGTAGGCATGGAGTATACAACCTTCAAATTACCAATTTTGATCATTACAGTGACATTATATCTAAGTGAATGAAAAGTCGTGTTTATATAAAATATATAAATGTAATCTTAGATAAATTTGGACCTATTAATATGATTTGTTGATATTAGCTTTGATTAATTGACAAATATACGTGTGCTTATCATAATCGCTTACTATAATCGCTAAATTAAATTGTCACTTAAAATTTTTTGTCTCGAGATCTTCTTGTAGCACAATTATGTAAGGTAGCGATATTTTGTTATTTTTCCACGTTAAAAGTTCCATTCAACGGAAAACAAGATCCGGGCGCCGAGAACAGAAATGTACAAATTTTAAGGGGCAAATCTCGAGAAACAAAGCGGGTTCCTGAACTGTATGCTCGCGACTTGTCAAAAATATGTCAAATGAATATTCCATTGATCAATTCATTCAATTCATAACAGTGAATCATGTCTATAAATGCATTAAACGGAAATATTAAAATAATTTAATACATAATAAGATCATATAAAATAAGTTCTGATATATACATATATATATTTTTATAAGCCATGAAGCGTCAATGCATTGAATTATGTCATTAGACCAAAATTAGTGAGACGCGAAAAACGCGAATGCATAATCTGATTAGAAGAAACCAACCTATTTTTAGATCGATTTTTTAAAAGATACCTTTGTAATAATTACTGAATTTAGAACTTTATAATGAGCATTGGAATAAAGCCTGACCAATGAAACCAATAAAAATCGCTGTTTTCCGAAATGCTTCTTTCTTTTATCCATGTCACTGTCTAGTAACTAATAAGAAAGGCAATTTGATAAAAAAAATAATGATTAGCAAACCAATTGCACTATATATCATTTATTGTTACTATTTTATTTCTTTCTGAATGAACCGTGCCCTCTCTTTATGCTTCAATGACTCATTTATGGTTAACAAAACGCGCCTATTAAATGAACTATTTACGTGTTGTTATTATATCATCATTTAAACGACTTTGTCTCGATATAATACGCGCTTTATAATTTGAAAATACTATTACTTAATTCGTCCATCCAACTGAACTCTAACTATTATGAAAAAATTTTGTATATATAGTGTCATTTTCTTCTTGATTTCTTTCCTCCTGGCAAAATTAAAACATGTCTAACATGTCTTTTAATTGCCAAATTTCCATGGTCCAATCATCAAATTTTCAAGTGTCATTTATGCCTTCTGACACTCGAATATTTATAGTACCGTCATCGAACAATCAAGATCTAATTATGATGGACCCGAATAATCAAAATCTAATAATGATGCCGTCTAATATCGTTTCAACCTCCACCATCGATCAATTAACCCTTTTATTTTTCCTACATAATTCCGCATATTACGTGGGATATATTGACAGACATATTGAATTCGAAATTCCATCCGTCGACGATGCCCTTACGATAGGAAAGGGCAAAAAAATACCGCCAACGTGTTTTATTTTATTTCGGAAAAGTATGCAGAGCTGCGTTACATCCTTGGGATTGAGAATTCCACGTGATAAACTGTCTAAACATATCCAAAAGATATGGAATGATCAAAAGAAAAAAAATCCTAAATTAGTGGAGCGTTTCAAAGTTATTGCAACTTCAGCCGCAAAAAGATTTTATGCGTCTAATTTTAGACTTAAAATCCACAGTCCAGTAAGAAGCATCGGCGCTTCTGGGCAATCCGTAAACTCTGAACATTCCGAAGACCCGGCACTAGCTTGTCTTCTTAAAGATCTTTTTCCTGCTATTTAAAATTAAAATAGATTGGCAAAATTTGTCGTTTTTTCGTTTAAAAAACTATATATATAGTTTATTATCGTAGAATAGACGTATTATTAACGTTAATACAATTGCAAATAATTATGCTATAAGATCTGCAATATGCTTTATTTTATGTCTTCTTATTTTATGTTTAAACTAGCGCTAGGTGTATTTAAGTCGGTGATTGCGTAGATGGTCATTCGTCGATACCAAATGTTTTTTAATGATAAAAAAAATAATAATAATAAATTTTTTTTAAACCAAAAATTTCTAGCAAGTTTTTTTTTTCTATCAGAACTAGTTTTGGATAATTGTAACAGCTATCATGTTCCTAAACAATTCACAGTATGCCAATATGCTTAACAGACTACTAAAGATTATTATCGAATGATCTTTAAACTCTTCATTTTATAAATAAACTTTTTTTTTGGCAATTATACTTTTTTATTTTGAAATTACACTACTAATCAGTATACCGATCTTTCTAGAAGACACTGAAAGCTATTGTCACATGATTTTTAAATTATTAAACTTTTTGTTTTGATAATCAGATGTCAGCTTCTTAAATTTATTAAAAATATCATCATCCTGATAGGCCTTTCTTTTAATTTTAAAGACGCAAAAATTAGCTGTATCATCATTTAATCAATAAATTTGTTTTTCTTTAAACTTAATAAAACTATTTGTAATTAATATTTATAACATATTATCTAATTCATAATTAATTGTTTGTATATAAATATTATAATCAGATAAAAAATAAAGATATCCTAGACTTAATCGGCTTCTTAAATCTGTTAAAAATATTGTCATCCCGATAGGCCTTTCTTTTAATTTTAAAGACCCAAAAAATAGCTATATCATTATTGTTTAATCAATAAATTCTTTTTTTTAAAAATTATTTGTGATTAATATTTTTATTGTATTGTCTTATTCGTAATTAATTATTTTAGTGTATTGTATATAAATATTATAATCAGATAAAAAATAAAGCTATCTGTATTATGATATATTGATCAGGAGTTTTTTTTAATATAACCTGCATAATATGCACTTTAATTTCTACTAGATCATGCAATATTATGCAAGTCTGATTAAATTTGATTTTAACTAAGATGATATTTATACATTTATCCGCATTTCGAAAATAAGATCTGACTAAAATTAATAAATAAGTCACATTCTCTTTTTTGTGCTTACGATAACTTTTTAACTCTTTCATTTCATATCATATATCATACTTTTAAGCACATGTTAGCAGATTTTACTTTTCGTGTTGGTAATATACTATACTATTACTTAAGTTACATACTTTCGCTTCACTTATATTTTATTTAGTAATAACTATAGTATTGTTATTTGATAATTAGATATACAGTATTACTTTTTAGTCTAAGGTAAATTCTTATAAAAGGAACGTTTCTTATTTTTTACTTTCTTAAAATAAAACTACTGAACTTTCGATACTACTAAAAAACCACTTTTCACATTTTTGTTTTCAAATTTTGACATTTATGTTTTTTTATACTTAAAAAATGCGGAGTAGAAAGTCTTATAAAATAAATATTGTACCATATCGCAGGTCTATTTTACCCTCCATGTCATCCTGTTGCAGTTATCGTTCAAGCCAAAGCCGTAATCGTTCTGTAACACCCCCATCATCAAATAATCGAAACAATCAATATAATGAAAGCCGTGATAGAAGGTCCAGATCAAGGTCCCCAACAACTGACACATCTAATAATCGAAACAATCAACGTAATGAAAGCTGTAATAGAAAATCCAGGTTAAGGTCCCAATGTCTGATCGAAACAATAGACGCCGTAAAAGAAAATCCAGATTAGCGACCCCACCCGTCAATAGAAGTAATAAACGTCCTAATCACTATTTCAAATTGCCAGATAAAAATAAAACGGGTAAAATAAGAATATAGGAAATTGAGCACATTATTTTTTATAGAGATATTGAGAAATAGATAGGTCTAATGATATATCTTATACATATTAGATATAAGATTCTTGAAGCAAGCATTTCATTCTTTAATAAACGAAGTAAGAGAATTAAAAAAGATATCCTGACCCCCTACACCAACCACACCCCTACACCAACTGCACCACTTACACCAAGCGAATATTATGAAGGTGGTAATACTGATAATTATCAAAGTGACGAAGGAGTTGATACCATTGATACTACTAGTCTTTCGCAATTATTAAATAATTGTGGTATAATAGATCTGGAGAATGAAATGAACAATATTCGCCTCTCCAGTACCAACAAAATGAATGCTAATACCACAACCAATGATGCTGGTACCAACACCTCCACCACTGAAACCGATACCAACACTACAAGCAACAAATGAAACAAAGGAAAACAGAGACAGGAAGACGATAGAAATAATCAGCAAAAACTATCAGTTTCTTCTGAACCATCTGGTGGTTATCCTAGAAGGCCATATGAGAAGTTGGAAGACATAGACGAAGATCAGTATAAACTGTTTCATATAGGTGTATGAATATTGCCAAGTGAAAATAGAATAGTATTCACTTGTTGGTACATATATTTAAAGTAATAATAGAGCTATCAGTTTACTGAATATTTCTTTTATGTATAGGATGAAATACTTCAAATTTTGGATGGCCTTGATGATAACTTACACTTGGATTGCACAAAAAAATGGAGTAAAATATCTCATCACGTGTCTAAGCATACTATGCCTGCAATTGGGAAGGCTTTGGAGAGTAATTTTAGATTTAAGTTTAGTGAATTAAAGTATGTTCTCCAAAATCTTTACCAACTTCGACAAGAAAAATGGAGAATCGATTCAGATCTAGTAAGATCAACGTCTGATAAAAAAAGAAAAGGTATAAACAGAAGACGTCAATGGTAAGTATGGATCTATTCCTTTACATAAAATCAAACTATAGTAACTAAATATAATATAAGTTATATAAGTTACAATTTTCGGTAGTTTTATTGAATAGGCCAATAATACTTTTATTATGTTAATAAAACTACTGATAAACCGATATTAATTATAGTTTATAAGTTACAATTTTTGGTAGTTTTATTAAATAGGCCAATAATACTTTTATTATGTTAATAAAACTACTAATAAACTGATATTAATTATAGTTAATCTATTAAATTATAGAAAAAACTAAGAAGACTCTAAGATATTAATCACTTGCTTAGTGTCAACGATAAAAATCTTGAAGATCTTACCCCTACAATGCATCCGGATGATTTTAAGAAAGACCTTAAAAAAATAATTAAGTACAAAGACTACCATTCAGATGAAATATCTGAAACTGATTATGAACAAACACAATCGGAATGTCGTTTGAAAGTTCGTCCCAAAAACAAAAAAAAAACAGATAATCATGTAATCCATGTTTATGATAAGCCTTGGAGGTAGGGCTCCTAGGTTTGAGTTCGGTTTGGTCCAGGTTTGATCAAACTTCAAACTCAAATCAAACTCAAACTTAAAATTTTACTAATTTTTAAACTCAAACCAAATTAAACTTTTTTTTTTCAAACTCAAACTGAACTCAAACTTGATTTTAAGTTTGATCCGGGTTT